CGTTTAATACAGAGATGTTATCTGAAGTGTTATGACACTTGAGAAAACATGCAGCGGAAAAATAAAGATAAAAAGACAATGCTCAGAATTAAAAATGTTCACAAGTAAAGACTTGTGAACTTGCCCTTTACAGGACGGAAAAAATATATTAAAATCAGTATTCCAAGAATACAAACGGAAGAGGTGCGAAAACTTCTTCCTTATGAATGAATCATTCTCATGATCATTCTTACAATCAAATCTAGATACTGAAAGAAAAATATTAAAAATTCTAGATTTCAAAGAATGTACTCATAAGGAGTACGTACAACAGATCCTAGAAACACACTAAAATTCTCGAGATTAAAACTTCAGCACTCTTTTTGTTTCTTCGAAATCTGCACTGTTCTTGAGTCTTGAGTTTGGTATTTATAGACTTGCCAAGCTTCCACTACTCAGCCCATGATCAGCAAGGAAACCAACCACAAGAGCACTCAAGAAAAATGGGTTAGTGGGTTAGTTAGGAAGTTTGAATAAAATCCACAATTAAACCCACTAAGCACTACTTAGCCCACTAAGTCATAACACTTTAGCCCACTAAGTAATAACTAAAATTTAGTTTGAAAGTAAGAAAGTAAAAAAACACTTTTGTATAAAATAACAACGTGTTTCTTACCATAGAAACTTCCCATCTGATCGTAATCATCAATTTGATTACTAAATTGAACAAAATTGGAACGAAATTTCCGATTCCCCCAAAAAAACAACACAATATAAATGCTACTGATACATCAAATTAATATAAGTATGAAAAAAAATTCTCACCGGTGAGAGATTGGCAACAGTGAAGATCGAAAGCATTAGCCTGAAGAAGCTCAATTCCAGCGCAACCGGAAACAGGGGATAATTGTTGAGAAATGGCGTGCACTGAGTGCCACAGGCTCGCCAATCTCAATGTATCACACTATTTACTATTTAAGTTAATAATATATATATATATATATATATATATATATATATATATATATATATATATATATATATATATATAAAAAGGAAGGCAGCTTGCGAGCTGTCAACAACTAGATTTGGGCTCGAACTCGAAAAACCCGAGCTCAAGTTCGAGCCTTTGTCGAGCCGGCTCGGCTCGTTTACACAAAAAAGACACAAAAAAGACACAAAAAAGACACAAAATTTTTTTAGGGTTTTTTTTTCAAAAACTATCCCTGGAAAATCTCTAATTACTGAAAACGCCTCTATGTTAAAATAATTAGCAAGGAAACCCCTATGAAAGTTATTCAAAGTCAAAAAAGCCACTGACAGGTTATCGTGCGCTACACTCGCCGTATGTGCGTCTGGGTTGCGTTTTCGAACCTCAAATAACCTAAATACCCTCCATAATAGAGGTTTTTATAATTACAGATTAATCCCAAAATTTTCTGCACCAAAATGAACTTTTTAAAATTTTCAATTCAATCCTTCCTATTTTGAGAAAGGCCATATTTCCAGACCCATTTTTTCTGAATTTTTTTCCAGCAAAAACAATCAACCGAACCGATATCCTCAAGCTCATTTTTTTTGCAAATCCAGAAAAATAAAAAGGGAAGAAGACATAGTCTTTTAGTCATTTTTTCCATGTAAAAGATTGGAAGAAAAAACTTCGATTTTGACCTCAATTTCACCATTCTCGATGACCCAAAACTTGAAATTCACCATTCTCGATAACCCAAAGCTCACTATTGATGGAGAAGAGACCCTTGGGGCAGCGTCGTGAGCTATGAAGAATATGAATGTGTTTGTTGTTTCTTAAAGGAAGAATTTGGCTGAATTTGTTCGATTTCGTGAGTCTGGTGTTATTTTTTTATTGGCAGAATTAGTTTTAAGCAGATGAGTAAAACGGAAGAGAAAATCAACTGGTTTCAAGTGGGATGAGGGGTGATGGGAAGAAGATGGAGTCCATTTTCCTTTTTTTTTCTTTTTTTTTATATTAATTTATATTTCTTTTATTTTGTTTGATCAAAATTAAAATATTAGTAAAAAAATAATTAGGGACATTAGAGTCATTGCACGTAAGTCAACAACTATTTTTTAAATAAAGGGGCTGTGTGTGTTTTTTAAAATAAAACATAGGGGGTTTTCGTTAATTTTTAAAATATAAGAATTTTTTCAATTATTAGAAATACAGTAGAACCTCGATAAATTAATACCCGATAAATTAATAACCTCGCTTAAATAATAAATTTTCCTGGTCCCGAGTCGGGGACAACATGCTAAATTAATAATTCGCTAAATTTATAAGATAATACACATTCTAAAATTTTAAGAAGCCCCATATAATATATAAATTAATAATGCATAAAATTAATTCTTAAATTACATGGTGCAATACAAATTTAATAGATCTATGAAGGCTAGATAAAATATATTTTAATTGTCGCTTTTTTCTTTATAAAGTTCACATTACCATCAATCTCATTTTTCACTTTTCTTAACATGATTAGAACTTTTGGTATAGTTTTCTCATAACTCAGCAGAAAATTGTTCAATACCATTGTTGCTATAAGAGCTTCGGTTTGAGAAACAGTCTCTATAGTGGATTGAACTAATGGTACAATTAATAATATACACATAAAAAATTAAAAAATGTATTTATTGAAAATAATAATAAAAATAATTTCATAAATTAATATTTTATTAATTAATGTATAAATTAATAATTATTAATTTATCGATAAGTTAATACATCGCTAAATTAATGAAATTTTGATGGTCCCAACTTTATTAATTTATAGAGGTTTAACTGTAACACAGGGATGTCCTTGCTATTAACTTTTTTTTTTAATTGATTTTCCGACAGTGCAGAATTTGAAGATTCAGGGATGTTTACCTTGTAACAGATGAGGCCGCCTGATTTGTTGATGATGTAGAGAGGCTGTAAGTTGCTGCCATGGGTTGTTTCGTTTACGACGATCTGGGGTTTATGCATCCAATTTTAAGAAGATGGGATTTGAAGAGGGTGAAACAGAAAGTATGGGGACGAAGTTGTGAACGGGGTATATTTTTAGGGGATGGTTAGCTCAAGTGAAACTGCAAGTGTGGGGGGAAATGTAAAAAAGTGATTTTTTTAGGGGTAATATAGCTATTGTAAAAGCTGTATTTTTAGCGGCAATTAGCTCAAATGAAACTGCAGATGTGGGGGCAAATGCAAAAATGATTTTGTAGGGGGTGCACGTGTGTGGGAAATGTCTATTCTATGCTACACCGGGTGAAATACACCGAGTAGATCGTTATTATTCATATATACACAAACACACATACACATAGGTGTGTGTATATCAACGGTAAAAAGTCACCTAGCTAGTATGATCTTTAATGGGTGTAGCATAAAAATAGCTGTGGAAAAAATTGTAAGAGTTATTTTTTAAGGGGAAAATTAGCTTAACCGAAACTGCAAACGTGGGGGCAATTGTAGAAGTAGTTTCTTTTGGGGGGCGAGTAGCTAAACGTCCCTGAAGATACTATTATTTAAATCAGGTTATTAATTTTATCGAGTATTAATTTAATAAGATTCTACTCTATACTATTATTTACAGTTCCCTGTATGGTAGAATAACTTCGGATTTAAACTCAGTCTTCCATGGTTTAGCTACTAATAAGACATTAATAGTTCGATACTAATAGACAAAAAGAAAATCACAAATTTAATTAAAAAAAAAGAGATATATAATTATTACAAAAACTGTTGGATATTTTGCAGAACATAAAAAGAATTATCAAGGAAATATAGGAAATAGTTGCTATGGCAAACGGGGAAAGCTCTTACTAATTTTATTTCCAGTGGTTTCTTGGATTTCTTAGGTCCAATTACAAAGGTAAAAACCCTTTAAATATATGATAAAATGACTATTGAAACTCTTTCCTAGATAAATAAAATGGACTTTCAAACTACCAAGTGTAGTGTATGAATATTAAAAATGCATTAATTCCAATACTCTTCCTTAATGCACTTTCATCGGTAACTACGAGCTTCTTTTAGAATAAGCAATCTTCTTCTTTGTTACGAATATGACTAGCAAAGAACAAACACTCTTCATTTGCTTGAGAGTAATTTGTTTGATGTTGTTTTCCTTTGAAACGACAATACTTCTCCAAATGTCCAATTTTTATTATTTATTTATTACAGTTTACACATTGATGTTTGCCTTTGTGATAACAATCTTTCTCCATATGATTTTCATTTTACAAATACTACATGGGGGATAAATCTCCTCACTTCTCTTGATGAAGGTTTGTGCATGACTTATGCCCTTTTTTTTGTGTGATAACTCGATTTATTCAAGTTAGTTTTGAAATAGAAGTCACTTTCCAAAGACTCTTCACTATTGCGATTCATCCTTCTAGATTCTTCAATTGTTGCGACCACATGGTCGTACTTTTCTGTCATAATAATTGCGGATTTTTGAACAATTGTTTCTTCTTCGATGATTTCTCCATAAACTCTCATTTGATTGACGATATCGAATCATTCTGGTGCTATATTGCATAGCATTCTAATTTTTTTCTTTTTTTTTGAGATTTTCCATCTCTTCTCAAATTTTGAAGTTTTATAGTCTTGACTTTAGAATTTTTCATTTAGAATTTTGAGGTTTACTTATCTCTCTTCTCAAATTTTTCATAGGTTGACACAAAGTTTCTATTTTTCAAAAAATATATATATAAAACAAGTAACTAGTATTTTTTTTTAATGACTACTTGTGCAATTAACTAAAAAAATAAAAGTACCTGGATTTGGAAAAACTGAATATTCATTTGGACAATCGAGAAGAAATATGATCTTGAGTGGCCGAGCCTTGATGTTCATTCAATTTTCACAATCCCTCCTCAACTTTCTTCAAATTTCAAATTAACCCCAGTTTTTTTTTTTCAATTTCAAATCTTTGATTTGAAGAAATTGAGAATAAATGTAAGCCTGACTGTAAATTGTAAAGAAAACCAGCGTTCAAAGAGCATTAAACTATTACCCAAAAAAAAAGAAATATATTGATTTTGCACTAATTAAGTCGTAGCTTGAAATTGTACACCTAAAAAGTCCTAATATTGTGTTCCTATGATAGATCTATTTAATCTGCTACCTAAAAAAAGTTTAAAGAAACTCCTCTACCAATTTACCGAAGTCGAATTTCCGATTGCAGCACTCCACTGCACAAATCACTTCTTGAAATGCAACGACGCTGCATGGTACAACAAGGCCGTTTCTTTGATCGAATCCGAACTCGTCATAGGCCTTCTCCAACAAAATCTTGAACAAAGGGTGCGAGAGATAGCTCGTGGGGACCACAAATCTCTCTCTATGTTCGCCAACGTAAACAGGGAAAGTTCCGGTGGGTGTAGTCGTCGTGGCGGTGCCGCCATCCCCGAGCAAGCATTCGTAGTGTGGTCGCGGTTGTCGCGGCTGCATGTTGACCTTCTTGGCTAGTTTCTTCATTGAACCTAGTTTCTTGCCCAACATTTTTTTTTTGTGTGGGAAATATAATTAATTTGAGTTTTAGGGTTTGGTTGGAGTTGGAGGGGCAAATTATATATCAAGAGGGGGCTAATTTAATGATTTAATTTCTTGACTATTGCATTGAGGGAAAGGGTGGGTGAGAGTGGTTTCAATTTGTAGTGTAATGGGGTGGGGTGGGGTGGGGTGGGGTGGGGCAATGTTAGTAAAGGTGGTCAACATTTTGACTTTTGAAAAATAAATAGGTTGTGTGAGGCTATGATTGTGGTGGTTTATTTGTCCCCAAGTGATTATTATTTTTCTTCATTTACTTTGACTAATTAATAGTTGGGAGCAATTACAATTGGGATTATTTGAGAAAACCCCCTCATATGCATTTTATCATTAGACTAGATCCTTTTTTTTAATTCCCTTTTTAGATAAATCCAATTGTATTTTATTAAGCAAAATATATTATTAATGACCTATTTTACCCTTTCTCAATTTGTTTCCCTTCTCTTCCCCTTCTGTATACAACTCGCGCCCACACATCGCCGCCCCACCAGACACCACACGATCTCCACCCTCCTCCTCCTCGGAGGGATCTCCCACCGGCTGCTCCTCTATTTGTTTCTCTCTTACATTCGGTTACCGCAAATTGCAAAAACCCCCAAATTTCTGAAACCCTAGTTTTGCCATTGGTATCTTCCACAATCCTTCTCCTTCTTGACCGTTCCCCCTGTTCATTCAATACCAAATGTATACATATGAATTCTTTTTTATGGTGATAAGACCTTTCACTAATAAAGAATTGTTCAACCTATATTGTTTTTTCACCGATGCTTCGCCGAAATTCCAGAAGTCGGACCTCCTCTCTGTGCGGCACCTGCAATCGTCGCCCCCGCGGTGGAGCACGACGGACTTCACTTCTGTCAGTTCATGCATGTCGGCTCGAGCGCCGGCATGGTGGAGCACGTCCATGTGCGCCATTGACACAATCAAAACCCAAATGAAAGCCCTAGGTTCCTGCCCGATTAAATCCGACAGCGTCAACCAAGCCGTCCGTTCTATTCTGAAATCCGACGGCACGAAGGGATTCTACCTCGGGATTGGAGCCATGGCCCTCGGCGCGGGGCCCGCACGCGCCGTCTAGTTCTCTGTTTACGAGTTCTGTTAGAAGAGATTCTCCAGCGGCAATCTAGACAATCACGCGGCGCATAGGGGGTTTGTGCTACTGTTGCCAGCGATACGGTAATCTAGATAATCAAGGTTTTCAACTAAAAATAATAATTTGATTGTAATTAGATTGTAATTCTTATTTTGAATTGGATTTTCTCTTTGAAAATGTGATTTGTTGTGGTGGATTAGGTTAATTCCGTAGTGGACTACATTACTATTTAGTGAATTTTGATATAATTAAACTCAATTTTCTCTTTGAAAAGGGGATTTGTCGTAGTGAATTAGTTTATTTTCGTAGTGGATTAGTTTAATTTCATAGTGGACTACGTTAATATTTTTGTAATTGTTTGTAGTGGATTAGGTTAATTTCATAGTGGATTATGTTAATATTTTGGTGGATTTCGATATTTTTTGTAGTGGGTTTGGATGAGATTGTAGTAGATTTAAAATTTTTCCTTGGTAGACCGATTTTATTTTGAATGATTAAATTTACACGTTGTCGTTGTCTTTTTATTTGGTTCAGATTCTTGACAAGGAGTGATGGCAACAAGTGGGACGAGGTTGGGTGATGCACGGGGACTCTACTATTGTATGCGATGACAATTTTTATTAAAGGGGACTTTTGTAGTGGATATAGGCAAGTTTTTAGTGGATTTTCTCTTTATAAATGGGATCTTTTGTAGTGATTTTCTATATTTTTGTAGTGGTTTTTGATGAACTTATAGTGGATTTGAGACAATACCTGATGCAGGCGCAAGGAGGGGTGTCGATGCGCTTACAGTAAATAGTGGTTTTTGAATTCTGATGTGACATTAAATAGTGGATTATGTTTTACAGTAAATAGTGGATTTCAAACAGTGAATAGTGGGTTTCAAATTCAGACAAAGAATAGTGGATTTCAAACAGTGAATAGTGGATTTCATATTCAAGCAGTAAAATAGTGGATTATGTTATTTTATAGTGGAATACGGTAAAGTAGTGGATTATGTTATTTTATAGTGGAATACGATAATCTTTCATTGGATAGTGAATGTTCATAAATTTTGACGTGTAGCGGATTTCATTTTTTGATAAACCTACTGGATAAAAAATGGTTTTCACTTAATTTCGAAATATTTATAGTGAAATTTGATTTGGTAAAGTGAGAAAAAAAATCAATAAAAAATATTAATTAAAAGAATAAACTGGAAAAAAAATTAATATTTAAAAAAAACGAAAAATTAAAAATAATAAATAAATAAAAAAAATTGAAAAAACTAAAAATAATAAATAAATAACTATTTTTTTGAAGTATAAATAAAAAAAAAACAATTTTTTTTAAAGGAAATAAAAAAAAAATGAACGTTGGCGTTTGCATACGTACAGATTTTTTAATTTATTTTCCATATTAATATAAATGATGATTGATTAATGAATATAATAGGGGTAAATGGGGTATTATGTTAATTGAGGGGTTATCCCTAATAGTAAATATAAAAATGGATTTAAACCTCTAAGGAAATTGTATGAGGGGGTTATCTCATATAACCCCATTACAATTAGATTAACAATACTGTTTATAAAAACATTTAGATGGCTAGTTAGCTAATCATTGAATGATATAGCCGTTTGAATTATATTAGTATGTTAATTATGGACGAATGGCAAAAAGACTCATCACATGGGACTTAAATGCATTTTGATCTACAAAAAAAAAGTCTCTCAATTAAACTCATCCCATGTCTTTAGTCTAAAATACCCTCCATAATGTAATTCTTATCAATTCCATCCATTATGTTCTAACTTCCTTAATATTACACATTAATCCTGGATTTAAACAAGTATATCACATTAACCCCCAAATGTTTTTTTTTTCAAAAAATAATTTTTTTATGAATTTTTTTTTCCGGCCAGATTCCGGCGTTGACTTTTTTTTTTTTTGGAAAACTTTTTTTTTCGTGAATTTTTTTTCCGGTCGGCCAACCACCGTTGACCGCCGGGCGTTGACTTTTTTTTTTTTTTTTTTGAATTTTTTTTTTAGAAAAAAATATTTTAATTAATATTACTGTATTGGCTACTAAATTACTGTCTCAGACAGTAATATTACTGTTTGGGACAGTAATATTATGAATATTATTTTCCCGGACAGTAATATTATTAATATTATTGTCTAAGATAGTTAAATTACTGTTGGATACAGTAATTTAGCAGCCAAGACAGTCATATTAATTAAAATAAATTTTTTTAAGAAAAAAACTACAAAAAAAAAAGTCAATTAACAGTTAAATTACTGTCTCCGACACTTAAATAACTGCTGGAGACAGTAATTTAGCAACAAATACAATAATATTAATTAAAATATTTTTAAAAAAAATCAATTAACAATTAAATTACTGTCTCCGACAGTTAAATAACTGATGGAGACAGTAATTTAGCAACGAATACAGTAATATTAATTAAAAATATTTTTTTTAAGAATAAAAAAGTCAATTACCATTTAAATTACTGTCTCCGACAGTTAAATAACTGCTGGAGACAGTAATTTAGCAACGAATACAGTAAATTAATTAAAAATATTTTTTTAAGAATAAAAAAGTCAATTAACAGTTAAATTACTGTCTCCGACAGTTAAATAACTGCTGGAGACAGTAATTTAGCAACGAATACAGTAATATTAATTCAAATATTTTTGAAGAAAAAAAAATCAATTTACAGTTATATTACTGTCTCCGACAGTTAAATAACTGCCGGAGACAATAATTTTAGCAACCAAGACAGTGATATTAATTAAAAAAAAAATTAAGAAAAAACAAAATTATTAAAAAAAAAAAAATCGAACGCCGGAGACCCGGCGGTCAACGGCAGTTGACCGGCCGGAAAACAATTTTAGGGAAAAAAAGGTTTTTAAAAAAGAAAAAAAAGTCAACGCCGGAGACCGGCGGTCTCCGGTGGTGGCGTGTCAAAATTGGAGTCAAAATTGAAATTAGGGTTAAAATTGGTTAATTGATGAAATTTGCCTAAATTGGGGTGTAAATCATGAAATTAGAGTTAAATTGAGTTTCAATGAATTGAGGGTAATTTTGGTATATGTAAAATGATTTTCCTTATTTGCAAATAAGTTTGAATGAGCTGGATTTATTTGAAAGACAAAAAAGTTGAATGTCCCTCTTTTAATTAAGTGCCCTTGTCATGGGCCTTTTTGTGATTTACCCGTTAATTATTTCTTGGTTTGTGAAGGCAATCAAATAACTGAGGACTGAGTTGTTATGGTGAATAATTTAAGATATTTAAAAAAAGTGTACAGTTACGCTATTTTTTTTATTTGAAATTTTATAATGAGTAAAATCGACTTATAAATTATTATTCAAACACTTTGAAGATAAATTACAAAAATAAGACGAAACAATTTATCAACTCTCAAAACAACTTATCTGATACAAGAGCTTATTAATTGTTTTAAAATAAGTTTAGTCAAACGGACTCTTAGTATGTGAAATGACTATTATTTAATATTTCATGGCTAATATTTTTTTTATAATAGTGGTTGGAGTGATTTACCAAGTAATAACTTTGCAATTTCTCTGATTAACTCATGGCTTACAATGAACTGAAAAACCGAAGGATTTAAGAATAATCCTACCAACTAACCCTTTTGAAGAATTAGAGAATTGTGATTGGTGGACGGCTGAGATTAATTGGTTGATTACATATTTTACATAAATAATATGATAACTTGGTCTAGTGAAGCAAAAGTTTTTTAAAAGTAATTCTGAGTTTTTTTGGGCTTAAAATTACATTTGAAGTGTTTGCAATAACAACTGTATTTCTACTTCTTTAAAAATAAATTGCTTTAAGCTAACTTAAAAAAGAAAAATCTCTGAATCAACTTCTCTTAAAATAAGTTGCTGAAAAATATTTTTTTAATAGAAATTGCGAACACAAGTTAACTAACAATCAACAATCATCAACTTCCACTTTTCTAAAAGTTTTTACAACCACCAACTTAGTCAACTACCAATTTCAATTTTTAGTAGAGTGGTGACCCCATTCAATTTGGTCCTAAATTCCTAATCTATTGCTGGAGAATAAGTAAGCAAAAACTCCGACATAATATTTGACTTTGGGATTTTTTAGTTGACTTTGGGATTTGTCAAAGGTTAATTTCGAGGTCAACTTAGCTCAAGCAATTTATGTGGTAGTAAGAAATTCCATTGTCCCTTCTAAAGTGATGTTGTTGAAAAACATAAAACTTCTTAATGTTAATATATTGTCATAATATTGGGCAACTTTTAATTCATTATAGATTTTTAGGGTTGAAGTTGTTTTATCGTTGACAACTTTTTTCTGGCTTGTTATTTTTAGTAGAGTTGAAAATCAAATTAAATCAAATACTCGATACTTGATTCAAAATCGAACATTAAAAGTGCATTTGAGTTTGATTCGTTAACAAAACGGAAACAAATTTAAACATATATTATTATTCAATAAACTAAAAAAAATTTGCCGACCTACTTGAGTTCGACCTGGTTCAGGCTCAATTAAAACTCGTTCAAACTCAACAATTTCACTTTTGACCGACTATTCGTTTGATATTTGACGAGTTACCTCGGATGGTAACATAAGACATCGCACTCTCTTTATATCAACTACATCCCTTCGTCGACATAATAAATAATTTCTCGATCTTTATTTTCATGTCTTATTATATGTTTTATTTTCCATCGGTCTCGACAAATGTCGGATCTAGTCTGTTGGCCCCAATCCAATCAAAAGATATTCAGAAAAAAAAAAATCAAAAAATTGAATGAAAATATATGATTCAAAATCGAAAAGCTTCGAATCGCAATTTACAGAAATTAGAAATTTCGCTCCAGACTTGCACTCCAAGATTTCCCATATGGTGTATGGACCAAGCCCAATATATATAATAAGGCCCTCTTTATTCCATTGGGCTTATTAATCACTAAATAACTTCAAAACAAACTTTTTTTATATAGCTTTTGTATAAGCTTTTCCACACTGTTTCAACCTCCGATTTCTAGGGTTTGTGAACTCCGATAAACCCAGCACCAGAATCTCTCTCTCTCTCTCTAAGATTTCGCCATGAGCAGATCGGGGCAGCCTCCGGATTTGAAGAAGTAATTTTATTCAGCGTTTTTTTTATTTTTTATTTCTCTGCATTTTGTGTGCGTAATTGAAAAAAACTGTTAACTCTTCATTTTTCTTCGTCTTCTTCAATACTTGCAGGTACATGGACAAAAAGTTACAGAGTAAGTTTTCAGTGTTCACTTAATACAGTTTACTTTGAAAATTGTTTCTTAATGCGTTACCCTAAATCGAAGCTGCTAGTTAGAAATTTTTGCTTTTTGAAAAAATAATTATTTTATATGTCCAATTTTCCGGAGCTTCTTTAATGCTGTGATTATTTCAAACTTGATGATTATTTCAAATTTTTTTTTTTTTAGGGCATACTTTTTTGTTTTAATTTTTGGTTCTATTAATGGTGAATAAAAAACTTCGAACCACTAGTGAATGAGCTTTTGTGGATATGTATTTGTGCTACTTTAGTTTGATGGAAGTTATTACACGTTGTGTTCTAATTTGTTTGAATATGAAATTTAATTGCGTCGGATGTTTGAACTAACTTAATACTTTTAGTCTTCACTGATTTCAGTTTCCTATGTATAATAAAGTGAACGAGATTGGTACAAATCTTGTCGGTAGCTAATCAGCGCTTGACTTAGCCTGTAATCTACTTGAGCGCCTGATATCTTGCTGGAATTAGTAAATAGGATATTAGTCGATAACTGGTGCAGTGTTTCTTGGAACTTGTGTGTAGAGTCTAGAAATAAGTTATGGTTATATTAAAGAGTTATAGAGATGTAATCGTCTGACCTTAGTGGAGGCTAAGATTGTGTTCACCGACACTGCTAATGTTGCTTGTTGCTGTTTTATATGAAAATGCTTGTTGAGTTCGACAACCTAAACATTTATCCTATTCTTTCATGGAGTTATGAACTGTAAACGCTTTCTCGATCGCTCTCGTTTTCCTTTTATCAAAGCCAAAGTATGCCTGTGTGGTAAGATAGAAAACACTAGTATAAATGACTATTTGCGGAACACAATCTCGTATTACTGAGTTAAGGATAAGCAGTCAATAATTTATTCCCTAGATGTATATAAAAAAAAAATTGTGTCGGGAGTTGTGCGACTGTATGAATTCTACCATCTTCCTTTTCAAGTTCTTGAGAAACTTATAGTCAATTTTTGGTAACACTTTTTCTTAACTGAAAAGACATCTATCGTTTCTATTTCAGTAAAGCTGAATGCAAACCGCATGGTGGTTGGAACCCTTCGTGGTTTTGATCAGTTCATGAACCTGGTGATTGACAATACTGTTGAAGTGAACGGGAATGAGAAAACCGACATAGGCATGGTGGTGAGTCATTTTCCGTTTCTGGTGGTTGTAAGAATTTCACTTCTTTTCAGACAATTGCGACTGTGAAACTTATGATGTTTGTGTTTTGCCTTGCTTTGCTTCTATTGCAGGTCATACGGGGAAACAGTGTGGTTACTGTTGAAGCTCTCGAGCCAGTTCAAAGAGCACAATGAATTGTACATTTTTGTGCTTGGGTCCCAATCTTAATTTGTAGGACGAGGTTACGTTGGATGCTGTAATTTTTAGTAATTTCAACATTTTATGACGAGCTTGCTTACTGAATCGATTATATGTAACGGTTATGATTTTGATGCAATGTTTTTTGAACCAGATTACTTTGTTCAAATGTGAACCAGTCGTTGATTTGGTCAACATATCAGCTAAAAACAGGATTGAAGGTTCGAACGTAAAACCCCTCTTGAAACTGTAAAAAAATCGGGATCAGTGTGATTTTTGTACGTTACTTTCAGTAAACCGATGGTAATTAGTAATTACTGTCTTGATAAAATGACCACCAAACGAAAATAAAGCTGATCAAACAATGGTTAGAATTACAGGATTTTGTTTTTCAAAGTATTTCATTCTTAACAAACTTCTTGATTTAGTTATTTAGTACAAGTATCATAAGCTTGTAGTGGTGGTTGTACACTATAATGAAAGACATTAAATAAAAACATTCTTGATTATGTCTTATTTTTAAGAGGATCTCCCCACCTATTCTATGCTACACCGGGGTCCGGGTGAAATACACGGGTTAGATCTTTAACCATTCATTTACGCACAAACACACACCCACATTGGTGTGTGTAGATGAACGGTAAAAAAATCACATAGTGTAGAATGTAGCATATAAATAACCCCTAGAATACTTCCCAGAACATATACTAGTGATTAGTGAATGACTCATACATACAATCGTCGCCGCGACAAGTGCTATCTCATAAATCTTGTAGATGCGCATTTGATAAAATATATGGCTAGTTTTGCACCATAAATCTACACATAATCACTCATGTATGTATGTGTGTGTATATAATTGTACTAGTCTAAACCATAATATTTTAATTGTAGCATCATCAAAACTAAGTGTTACTTAAAAGCATGAGAAAAAAATAAAATTAAAATTAAAATAAGGTAGAAAGATATGTGATGATGTAAAAGTCTCACCCTCCACAAACCTTTACCTTAAATCCAACTCTACTCTCAAATAGACAAGTCCATATGAATTAATTAAAACCCACTCACCAAACTCTCTGTTACTATTCAATTCTTGATTACTTTCCCTCCCACCATAAAAAAACCCCTTAAAAATTCAATCTTGAAACACACACTACACGCACCTTCCTCAACTTACTTCACCTTCAACTCCATTCACACCTACAAAAAAAAAAATAGTAATGGGTTTTGCCCCAAAACCCACAAGTCCTCTGTTTATAGTATTTCAGCTGCTGCTTTGTACACAAGAAACTGTACAAATACACAAATAGGAGACAGAAATTTTAAGGAACCCCATTTGGTGGGTTTGTTTGTTTGTAATAAGTTGGGGTTGAAGAGGTGGTAATGGAGATTGGGTGCCCTACAAATGTGAGGCATGTTGCCCACGTCACCTTTGATAGGTTCAATGGCTTCCTTGGCCTCCCTGTTGAGTTTGAACCTGAAGTTTCTAGAAGGCCTCCTAGTGCAAGGTCACAATTTTTTTTTTCTATTTTTCTATGTTTTATTTTCTTGAAATTTAAATTAGGGTTAGTCAGATAAAATTGTTTCTTGATTGTTGTTGTGGAATTTATGATGTTAGAACTTGATTGTCTATCTTTAAGTTGATGTTTCTTGTAGTTGGAAAAGAAAATTCTTGACAAAGAGATATTTTTGCTGACATTTTTTATTACCATGTAACTGAATTGTGTGTAGTACGAGAGTTTTCGGAGTTTCCACGGAGTCTATGCAGCTTTCTTTCGACACTAGGGGCAATTGTGTCCCTACTATATTACTCATGATGCAACGACGCTTGTATTCGCAAGGCGGCCTGCAGGTAATTTAATTGCATTTATTTCATATTGTTGATTGATGCAAAAAAGAATGTGTAATGAAATATAGCACACTGTTTCAAGATCAATAAAACATTTAATTTTTTCCCTCCAATTTGCAGTCTGAGGGAATCTTCAGAATTAATCCCGAAAACGGGCAGGAAGAGTACGCTAGGGAACAACTAAATAACGGATTAATTCCGGATAATATCGATGTTCATTGCTTAGCAGGTCTAATTAAGGTACTTTTTTCGCTACCTCTTCTTACTCGATGCTTCGCTTATTCATAATCGATAAACCATGAATTTCATCTAGACTTGTTAATCAGTATGGATAAAAAAAAAATTGAATCTTTACAAATATTTGCCTCAAGCCGAGGCAGATGAATCATTTTGCTTCGACTTAGTACATAACTCAAAACTGTTTTTTTTTTATTTTTTTTTTATTTTTATTTTGCAGGCCTGGTTTAGAGAACTTCCAAGAGGGATATTGGATTCTCTCACACAGGAGCAGGTAATGCAGGCCCAATCAGAAGAGGACTGCACTCGTCTCGTGACTCTACTTCCGCAAACAGAATCATCTTTATTGGATTGGGCAATAAATCTTATGGCCGATGTTGCCCAAATGGAACATCTCAACAAGATGAACTCTCGTAATATCGCAATGGTTTTCGCTCCCAATATGACTCAGGTTCGATTAAAAAAAAATAAATACAGTTTCTCCAGGAATTGGACCCTTTTTTCGGCCCGTCTTAATTGTGTATGTTTGCTTATTACAGATGTCGGATCCTATGACAGCACTAATGTATGCTGTACAAGTGATGAATTTTCTCAAGACTTTGATTGTGAAAACGTTAAAGGGAAGAGAAGATTCTATAGTAGAATCTGCTCCTTCGATGCAGTTAGAGCCTTCAGACGAAGATGAAGAAGAAGAAGCTAGTGTAGCCAATGAAATTAAAATGAATGCAACTGAATCTAAAACGAACAATGAAGAAACTCATGGTTTTGTAAGTTGTATTGAAAATATCTCGTCGTCCGATGAAAAGGGAGTTGTGGGAGTTGATAGTGGAAGTGGGATAACTCAATCAAGAAACGGGAGGTCGAAAAGTGGGCGACGAAATGATTCAAATAACTGTAAGAAAGGATCAAGAACATATAGTCAAGTTAATGGTGTTGCAGAGAAAAATAAGGAAATAGGCGTAAATAGCTATGTGAATTCACGTGCAGAGCGATTGGAGGCGTGGAGATGAACGAACTTGTTTGAATATATATTTTTATTTGGCGTTGTAATTTTCGATCGTTTGGATTTGTTCGAATATATTTTTATTGACTTCCTGGGTTTGGAGTTGTTTTTAACTTGTGAGTGGCAAATTCCATGTATTATTAGTGTTTACCTTTGCATGATCTCATTGTATAGACTATCTCTATGAGTGTTGAATTTGAATGTAATTTATCTTCATTTTTGTTGAGCTTGTCTATTTTATGTCCTTTTCCTATTATTTTAAAAAAGATGACTTCGTTTTGTACTTCAAGTTATAGATAAGTAGAGGTATTGCAAGATTGGTAATAACTAAGGTTAGGTATTGAGTCCTACAAGGGAGGGACTAACTGTCGGAGCAAGTCAGCTTGTGTCAATTGATTCAAGTTCGAATCACAGGACCAACGGTCGCTAGGTTGAGCTTGTCACACATGGTTAGCATAGTGTGATTTGCGTTTCTCGTATGATTTGCAAGCAATTATACGAGGGTGTAGGTTTACGTAATGTATCTATATGATTGGCTGTACGTGTTCCTTCATTACCCAATTTTTTTTCCTAATAATTTAACAAATTTGTAAATATAAAGAAATTAGAGAGGATTCAAGCCAAGGCTGGCTTTTTTCTACGTTAAATATATAATTTATGGAAATGATACAATTTGCATCATTTGTGTTTGCACCGATTTCACATTTGGTCGACCATGTTCGCAAAAAATACATTTGGTCCCTCATGTTTTAAAAATTAATCACTTTTAGTCCTTTTTCGTTATCCATTAGTACTAACGGGAAAATCAAGCGTATGCCCGTTGTCGCCTTGGCTGACAACTTAACTGTAAATTGACGAAAAAGACAAAAAATGTTAAATTATTCAAAACATGAGCGATCAAATGTATTTTTTTTAAACATGGGCACACCAAATATGAAATGAGTGCAAATATAGGGATCAATCATTGTCGGGCCAAGGGATGGGGGTCCTGGGGGCGAGGGATTTCGCCTTTGGTGCGAGTGCAAATATAGGGTGAAAAATGTAATTTTCCCAAACATTACAGTTGATGCGGTCACAAGATATCGAATTCGAATTTCAATTTAAACTAATCGATGTTCTGAAAGAACAGTTGTGATTACCTTCGTCCTTCATTGATTCCGCCGTCGCACAACTGTCGCCGTCGCCGAAACGACGTCCCCTTAGTAGCGGCGCTGCATCTAGGGTTTTCGATTCCGCCCTAATCCGGACAGCATCCCCAGCTAATTTTTTTTTTTTGGTATCTGTAAATTGGTGCCCACCGTTGTTCGAATGCGGATTGGATTTACGAAAATGAAGCTGGATTGCTATCAGAGAACGTTCGCACATTCTTCATCTTCTTTGACTCCAATTCAACTCCCCGCTCACCTGTAAATTCCTCCGTTTTCCTTTCCGATAATAATAATTACGTTGCCCTTTATTGCCAGTTTATTTGTTCCTATCTATTTATGTATGTATGTATGTATGTATGTATGTATGTGTGTATGTGTGTATGTATGTATGTATATATGTGTGTATGTATGTATGTATGTATGTATGTATGTATGCATTATCTAAAAGAACCTGATTTTTTTTTAGTTTTTTTTGTTTCAGGGAGACACATCTCTGGTATGTAAAACCCAGTGAAGTAAAGAATGAATCTTTGTTGAAGCAGTATTTAGATATTTTATCTCCACGTGAGAGGGAGAATGTGATGCAAATGCGGGGTGAAGAGCTGAGGAAGAGCGCGTTGCTCGCGCGTACCTTGGTTCGAACCACAATTGCCAGATGTATGCCGTAAATTTTATTCTTGCTTCCCTCTAAAAATCTATTTTCTTGTTTTAATCGATTATTTGCAACAAATGCGATAATTATCTAGTGCTGCATCGTGTGTGTATGTATGTATCTGACGACCCCCATTGCTATCTTGAAGGCTAACTTAAGCGTTGTGTTCGAGACGATTGCCGATTGTTCTTTGTTCAATTTTACTCTCTACTGTTTAGATTTCAGTGAAGGCAATAACTTGAAATCACGAGTCATACGAGAGAACAGGGGAGAAAATAATGTATCTATTGAAAATTCGCTCCTATGTAAAAGCATGTGCAATATTTAAAAATGTTCGTTTTTTTGGTCGAGAGAACTTCTTTTTAGCGAAATGATCATATTGGTTTTTTGGTAGATCAGATAAACTCGCAGATTAATCCCAGATCATTGAAGTTTCGAAAAAACATACATGGAAAGCCTGAGGTAATTACGTATAATTATTGCGCGTTGCTTTTGAACCGTCTGGATTTTTCAGCATCGAAATCAAGAACCTTGCCTTCTGCTAAACCCGGGAAATTTAAGCAGGTAGATTGGCAATTCAGCAATGATTCGCTTCCACCTCCGTTGCATTTCAACATCTCCCACACTTCTTCTTTGGTAGCATGTGGAGTGACCGTCGATTCTCAAGTTAGCTATTTCATTTTTCTCGTTATTTAAATTTCATTTTTCTTCACCACCGATATATAGTTGCCTATAATGGATCGTTCCTTTTATCGACCTGCTTCCGAGTGTAGATTGGTATTGACGTGGAAGAAAAGCACAGAAGTATCAAACACACCGTTCTATCTTTTGCTCGACGTTATTTCTCTAAACACGAAATTCAATTCTTAGCCTCCATTACTGATCCACAAGTTCAGAAACTGGAGTTCATCAAATTATGGACACTAAAGGTAATAGTTTCCTACTAGTGGAAGAATTCATAAACGAAATATGGATATTACAAATCCAATTCGTAAACTACCCTTGCATTTACATTTAAGGCTTCTAATTGGAAGTTACGATTTTCAGGAGGCATACGTGAAAGCTTTAGGAAAGGGATTTTCTGGTGCACCTTTTAAAACATTTACGATTCGATTCAAGGAGGACTCGATTCATCAGGCATCTGAAATAGTAGTGGATTCTTTTGACGAACCGACCGAGCTTACAAGCAATTGGCAATTTTCGCTTTTGGAGTTAGCTAATTCACACTATGCAGCCATTTGCACAGAGAAGCATGCTGCCTCTGCAGAAGGTATGAACCATTCGTTCAACTAAAAGAAAATCTCGAAAAATGGCATTTAATGTAAATTCTTTTTTTTTTTTTTCGTTTGCAGGCAAAAGAAATGTTCCGACAAAATTGACTGTATGGAAGACTATACCATTTGTAGTCGACGAATGTGTGTCTGGTACAGATGCAGTTAAAACAATCTATGGTTAGGATAACTGGTTTTCTTCTCCTTCTCCTTTCATTCTGATTCAGCTGGCAATTGTAAAGTATTTATCTTTCATATGTGAACTTGTTCATAAAGATTAATGAGTTCCGAAAATTCGCCGAGTCACAATTGTGAGAAAAAAAAAAACAAGTTTCACCAGTAGTCATTACAAGAACAAGACCCACCGCTAAAATGGTGAAAACGGGTTGCATCTCTAACTACAAACCGACGATTCACTAATTTACTCACCGATTTCACAAACACATGACAATCACCACATATCCTCAAGTTCTTGATTACAAGAATATCCCTTTCCGAATCATTACCGTTCAACAGAGCAAACGCAATCGCCAATCTTTCGCTGTGCACGGACACATTATTACTCGGAATTTCGCCATATTCTTTCTCACGACACCCTTTTACTAAATCCTCCAACTTAGAATAAATCTCCTTTGTCTGAGAATGATTTCTATCACCAGCAATGAACAAATGAGTCTTTCCTTTACATTCAACATAACTATAACCCGGATCCTTCTTCAACCCTCTCTCTCTCATCATAACCCGAATCTTTAAAACACCTTCAGAATCACCCGTCTCAGTATAAATATTCGATAACAAGACATAATAACCTATGTTCTTCGGTTCAATCTCAACAACCTTAGCAAACGCAAACTCCGCCAAATCCACGTTTTTGTGGATCTTGCAAGCACCCAAAAGGGCTCCCCAAACAGGCCCGTCGGGCCCCATAGGCATCGAGTCAATGAGCCTACAAGCCTCCGCCAATCGACCCGCGCGACCCAAAAGATCCACCACGCAAGAGTAGTGCTCCGAACCCGGATCCAAATCATACACACTCTTCATTGAATGAAAATAGTCCAAACCCTTTTGTGTCAGACCAGCATGACTACACGCAGTGAGAACACAAACGAATACAGCCTTATCGGGTCGGATTCTTGCCGTAATCATCCGATCGAAAAGCTCCACTGCAATATCTCCATGCCCGTGCATACCGTACCCACCTATTATGGCTGTCCAAGAAATCAAATTCTTGTCAGGCATTGCATCGAAGATAGCTCTTGCTCTTGCCAAGCCACCGCACCTTGCATACATACTAATTAACGAGTTTTTTAAATACGGATTAAGTCCAAATCCGCGACGATTTATTATCTCTTCCACCTCACGGCCTATTCTCTGTGCACCGAGATTAGCACAAGATGACAGTACGCCAACTAACGTCACTTCGTCGGGGCAGATATTTGCGGATTGCATGTCTTGATAAAGATCCAAAACCTCTGTACCGAGTCCGTGTTGTGAATAGCCGGATATTATTGCATTCCATGTGATTAAATTCTTGTGTGGGATTTCGTGGAACAGCTTCTTAGCTGATGAAATCGACCCACAATGGACGTACATTGACAGAATGCAATTCGCAACAGCTAAATCGGTGATCAAATTGTACTTTGATGTTAAGCAGTGCAATGAAATTCCCAAATCCAAGTGCTCTGGAGCTGTACATCCCGGAACTAGTCCCAATATAGTGACTGCGTTTACGGGTACTTCTCTGGCTCTCATTTCACGCAGCAAAAGCATACCATCTGAGAATCTTGACTTTTGAATGAAACCAGATATCAAAGCGTTGTAGCAGACCGTTGATCTGGTCGAGTGCGGAATTTCATCGAACACCTTGTGGGCATTCTCGAGTGAAGAAAACCTGCAGTACATGGTGATTAGTGCGGTCTGGACGAAGGGTTCGAGGTGGCAGCCGAACTTGATGACGTGGCAGTGAAGCTGTGTTCCGGTTGGGGTGAGGGATAGGGCGGATGAAGACTTGAGAATGAAGGGGAAGGTGAAGGCGTTGGGGGCGGCGGCGCCGGAGCGCAGCATTTGGCGGTAGAGGATCAGTGCTTGGCTGTACTGGCCTTGTTTTGAAAGGTCCCTTAGTTGTGTGTTCCATTTGCCGCCATCTCCGACGGCGGCGGCGGCGGCGACGGCGGTTATGTTGGTTGGCCGAAGGCACGCTGTCTTGATGCATGGTAGCAAGTTCTGCCTGCTCATCGAGTGGGCATTGAAATCAGAGGTCTGGCCATTTTATATTTAATTTCAAAAGGGTAATTTACAAATAACTCCCTAGGTATATCAAAATTACGAGAATCGTTCTCTTTTTTGTTGAAATTACAATTATCCCCCCAAAATTAACGGATCTTCAAGAACCTGACAAAAACCAAGGAATATCTTAAATTTCCCATAAACAGAAAAAAATAGAAAATAAGAAAAACGATTGCTAAGATATATTAATATTTGAATATACATACAGTAGAACTTCGATTAAATAATACTTTTGCTCGATCCTGAGTCTGAGACAACGTGGGAAATTAATAATCAACTAAATTTATAAGATAATACATATTTGAATTCTAATAAGCATATAATATATAAATTAATTATGCATATAAATAACTTTTCAAATAATACATAATACAATAGATTGATGATAAATATATAAAAATATTACAAATTATGTTTTAGTTCTCTTTTATTTCTTGTTAAAGTCAGCATTCTTCATTTTTCTTAATATTGTAAAAAAATCTCTTATTGTTTTGTCATAAGTCAAAAAGAAAATATTAAATACACTACCTCGATAAATTAATAACCCCGCTTAAATAATATTTTTTTTACGGTCCCGACTCGAGGACAATGTGCTAAATTAATAATTCGCTAAATTTATAAGATAATACACATTCGAAAATTTTAAGAAGCACAATAATATATGTAAATTAATAATTGCATAAAAATAATTCTTACATTCCATATAGATCTAGGAACACTTAATAAAATATAATTTAATGATAATCTTCTAATTAAAAGAAAAATATATATAGTAAGCTATTTTGGTGGGGGAGTTGAAAGAAAAAGTAGTTGAGATCCTCAGAAATTGAAGCATTTGTTGGATATATTGACAAGTGTTAGCTCAACCCTTACATATCTACCAACATATGTTACATCGATAAACCAAATCAAATTAAAACACAACCAAAATTAAATAACAAACATACAATTGTTGTAAGAAAAACAAGAAAAAACAAACAAACAAGTAATTAAGCTACTACTAGTGAATCATATCAAGAAAAATATGGCAAGTCCAGGTTCATCGTTTCCGGCAGCCGAGGCGGAGAAAGAGTTGAATCCAGCCTTGAACACTGATTTTCAGGTCGATCCCGTTTCTGCGCAAGTTACTACGTCTAAGCAAATGAAGGTAAAAATTACTCATTATATCCTTTTTCCTTTCTTTCTTTCTTAAGAACATGTCTAGAAATATATACACATTTTGATCCACCATATCTTAATTCGAATAATGTATAGGTCAGGTTCGGATCCAGAAAATGTGGAACCCTAACCAACCCTTATATAGGTCAGGGTCCAACCCTCCGGTTTGCAAAAAAACAACAACACTGGTCCGGGTCGCCGGTTAACCAATTTTTTTTTCTTTTTAATTATTTAATTTTTTTTGAAAAATTAAAAAATGTGGGTGGGGAATGACGAGTTACACGGTTCGGTCGAAATTTCAATCTTGATCGTTGATCTCCACCGTGAGAAGTAAAAACAATCATAACCGTTAGTTTTTTCAAAAAAAACAAAACAATAATAAAAAAAATACAAAACAAGGGTCGAAAAACCGCCAATTGAACGTCCGTTCGTGGTTTGGGAAATGGACAACCCTTAACCGGCCCATATTATAAGGGTCCGACTCCAGGTTCGAGTTGACCCCGATCCGGTTTCGATTCAAGTCGAATCGGACCTTTGGCCATGTCTAATCCACATGTTATATCGAATTGCTAAAAACTCTCCGTATTATTACCGTAATTCTTTGTCTCTTTTTCTTGGCCACTTGTAACTAATAATAATATATAGGTAATTGATTATAGTATTGGTTGTTTGTTTGGAGCATGCAGGAAGAATATGAAGCAGCAGAAAGGAAAGAAGAAGAGGAAAAGAAGAAAGAAGAGCTAAAGAAGAAAGAAGAGGAAAAGGACAAAGCTGTCCAGAATTTCAAAACCGCCGTCATCATCTCCGGAATCATCGTCGCGGTGGCCGGTGCAGTCTTCGCCATTACCAAAAAACTCCGAGAGAAATGATTTTATTCTTAATCTTTAATTAATTAGTGTCCTTATAAACATGCATGCATGGCTTCATTTTTTTTTTTTTTTGCAACAAGTGTTGGATTACATTTTTTTCATCAACAAATTAATCAACGTTTTTTTTGTAGTTGATATTTATCTCCAAGAGAATATTGATTTTGCTTTAATTTATATTTTTTTTTTTTCATTAGTTGAAGATTTAGGTCTTTGTTTGAACTTTACCCCCTTTAATTTGTAATGATGTCTTGATGATTTGGAAGTGTTCAATTAGTGAAGCCCATGACACCAAAAGTACAAACTCAAAACATAATTTAAGTAATTCTAAGACCAATTTCTAGAGAAAACAGAATTTAAAGATCTACATCCACTCAGAGAAATTCACCAGCACAATCTAAAAAATAACATATCAATCCCTTTAATTCTCTCTTCATCAATTACTTATTTTGTTTATTTAGGTCAAAAATAGAATAAAGACATAATAATAATAATAATAATAAGGGAAAACTACGGACACCCCCTTGAGTTATGATCGAACTACGAAAACCCCCTGCTATTTGGGTAATTACAGCCACTTCCTCAACTATGTATTATCTTACGAAAATACCCCTCCAGGGGTAAATTTATGGATGTTAAATCGGTAGAACCGAACCGAAATTTCGGTACGTCAACATTTCATACGATTTGGTCTGGTAAATAACCGAATTACATAAATTTTATGTAAACAAAAAGGGACTTTTCGTAATTTGGCCATAGCTCAGGGGATTGGCAATAATTCGCCGTAATAAATAATAATAATATTTGAGACATCATTAAAATTCTTAAACTTAATTTGTAATTAAAAAAATTATCCCCAAAACAAATGTTAATTCGACACATGGAGAAAAATCAGTTATGACTGTTAATCCTCTGGTTTTCTTTGTCATATACATCTGCTGCAACAAGCACTCAACATTCAAAGCTTATTATTCCTTTCAAATCAGAATTAATGGCTCAATTATTCCAATTCACACCTCCATCTTCCCTCTTTCACCTCAATCACAAAATCCCCACCCACAGTTGCAGAAATCCACCCACTCGTCAAATCCCCTTTTCTCTCAAACAATCCGCCGCACTCACACCCAGCGCCGCCGCCAGCAATCGCCACTCCCCGCCGGTCAAATTCGCCTCCCTCACAGCACTCAAACCCTACCTCCAATCCGAATGGCGGCCCATCCTCTCTGGCTGGCTGTGCAGCGCAATTTCTGTCTACTCGCTGTCCAAAATCGTGCCTTTGTCGGGGAAGCTCTCTTCTATATTGGCCGCTGCGGATTTTTCGAGCCTGAGAAATGAGGGTTTGATATTGGGGGTGCTTTTTTTGACACGAATTGTGTCCAATTATCTGCAGCAGGCGTTTCTGTGGGAGGCCGCATTGAATTGTGCCTACAAAGTTAGGGTTTACGTGTTCAATAGGGTTTTGCAGAGGGATTTGGGATTCTTCGAGGGCGAAAAGGGAGTTTTACCGGGGGACGTTGCGTACAGGATCACGGCGGAGGCGGAGGATATAGCCGACACTGTATATTCCCTTTTGAATGTGAGGGTTTGCTTCTCGATTTGATGTCGATTTCTTTGTGCCGTATGAGTTAATTCATGTGATGTGAAAGTATGTTTTCCTAGTACAATATGATTGGTGGTTTGTCAATTTGTCGTATTCAATATTATGATTTTGAATATCTAGGTGAATTTAAAATGCGGGTTCCATGATCGACTATGGAACTCACATTTTAAAAGTTGTTTTTGGTATTTCCCTGATCCTTTCCGACAATGCAAGTTGTGGTTTCATTGCACGTTTTTTGAGTGAAGCTTTAGTAATGGTTCTTAATATCTTATAATACTTTCCATCGCAACTTTTTGTAGTGCAATACTGTATATTATGAATTCTCAAACATATTCGCGATCACTCTGTCAAGTTATTTGCTCTCTTTGCTTCTTATTCGCATTTTTTCACTCAACAGACTGTTGTTCCAAACACTCTGCAAGTATCAGCTATGGCAACTCAGATGTTAATCATAAGTCCCGTACTCTCAATAATTTCTGCCTTGGTAAGGAAGCGGTAGCCAAAATATTATTATTAATTTTTTTTCGGGACTGGATTTGTTAAGTTTTTGTAGTAGAATTGAAGAGCCCACTTTTCTGGTGTTGTTTTGAAGGTGATTCCGCTCATGGCTATCACGATTGGTAGTCTTGGAGAAAAGCTTCGTAAAATATCCAATACGGCAAATCTTAGTACAGCTTCTCTCTCAGCATACCTAAATGAGGTGTGGCATATTTTTACTTTCTATTTTGATTGTGCAGTTTGTGTAGCTCTATCTAATAATATTTTGTTGAGAAGCTTAAGCACATGTGCATTATTATTTTTGTTGAAGGTCTTTCCTTCAATTCTTTTCGTGAAGGCAAACCACGCAGAATCCAACGAGGGTATTAGATTCCAGTCGCTTGCCTCTGCTGATCTCTCGGCGTGTTTGAAAAAGAAGCAGATGAAGGTTTTAATACCTCAGATAGTACAGATAATGTTTTTCGGGGTTCTATTCATGTTCGGTGCCAGCTCGTTGGTAGTTTCAAGAGCCTCATTCAATTGTTCCGCCATGGTTTCTTTCATGACATCACTGATTCTATTGGTCGATCCAATTCAGGTAACTTTTATCTGCTTAATGAATTTTACGTATAGGTGGTTACTTAACTTGTTTCTTTTGAGTTTCTGAGATCATCGATGTTGGAATACTACATTTTCGACTTAAGTCACTTTCTAAATGCTGGACATCGGAAATGATTACTTATTTGCTTCATCATGATTTATGCACTCTAAACGCAGAAACAGAAATATTGATTACTCTTACATTTGGGAAGTCTGACGGTCTCGCATGAATTCAAATATCCATGATTTTCTAATGCATGTTTATTTGTTATTATGGTTTTTCTTCCGTGCAGCTGTCTTAGAGTATCAATCTGAAATAAAGAATTACGCAGGGTGTGGGAAAAGCATACAACGAGTTAAAACAAGGAGAACCAGCCATTGAGCGGTTGTTTAAGTTGACCTTGTTCAAGTCACAGGTACATTCCCGTTTTCTTTCAATCCGCATAACAGATATTGCTTGTCACGAGTTTTGACTGTTGGTAAAAACAAAACGAGCAGATTTTTTTTCTTAATTTACTTGAGCATTCTTGGTTGCTGAGATGTAAGCTTTCCTTAATGCTCCAAAATGACATTTTCAACACTTTCTCGAGATTTTTCTGAACGAGCTTACAATGAAAATATTCAGGTGAGTGAGAAAACAGATGCAGTTGATTTAGTCACCGTTAGTGGAGAAGTGAAAGTATGTGGCCTCTCTTTCTCATATGGAGACAGTGTGGGCCCCGTATTGAATGGGCTCGATCTTCATATTCATGCTGGAGAGACAATTGCCCTTGTTGGCCCGTCTGGTGGAGGCAAGACAACTCTTGTCAAACTTCTGCTTCGCCTATACGAACCACTTTCTGGTGAGTGAGTGAGTGAGTGAGTGAGTGAGTTCTCTTCCTCAATTTTATCTTATACTGTTATCTATCTGAACTTCACTATTTCGGAATCGACAGGTTCGATTTTGATAGATGGCTGTGACATTCAAAATATTCAATTAGAGAGCTTAAGGCGACATGTTGGTCTGGTCTCTCAAGATTCGGTAAAGTGTCTTTGCATTGCAACATCTATCTTCTTTTAAATTCTCGGATAATCTTGATTTCTGCTTTTGGTTAAAAAAGACCGTGAATTGTTATTTTTGCAGGTACTGTTTTCAGGGACTATTGCTGAGAATATCGGGTACAGGGATTTAATAAGTGGTATTGACATGGATAAAGTCGTAGTTGCAGCTCAAACTGCAAATGCAGACGAGTTCATTAAACGCCTTCCTGATCAGTACCAAACCTGTGTTGGACCTAGGGGCTCTAATTTTAGTGGAGGCCAAAGGCAAAGGCAATATTATTTTCTTCAATTTTTTTATTATTAATTTTTTTTATATATATAATTAAACTTCATTTTTTTAACTCTGGAGGGTGACCCTTTTTCGTTCCTGCATTTATACATCAGGCTAGCTATTGCAAGAGCGCTTTATCAGAACCCGTCTATTCTTATTTTAGACGAAGCAACTTCTGCATTAGACAGCAGATCTGAGTTTTTGGTGAGACAAGCTCTTCAACGCCTAATGCAAAATCGAACGGTAACCTCAAGTGCAAATTAAAACCTCAAAATCATTCTTGTTTTAATTTATTTATTTTTTTTGTCAATTTTGGGGGTATTTTTGCAGGTAGTGGTGATTGCTCATAGGTTGGAAACGGTTGTAATGGCTGAAAGAATATTCCTCTTAAATGATGGGAAGCTGCAGCAACTGAGTCATTCGGATCTTTTGGATGCTCATCGTCAACATGGCTCACTCGCTAATGCACTCGTTATCTAGTAGTATTCAATATTTCAATCCGAATTTTAAATAATCGTGTAAATTATTATTTGTTCTTTAATGTGGTTTTGTCACAAATAATCATAGTAATTTGTTATTCACTCTCTATACCACTTACTTGTACTTGATGAATTAGACAACTGAATTTTCAAAAAATTATAATTTGATCTTTAACTAAACAATCAAAAATCAATATTTCAGATAAGGCGGGAAATTTTGCCGCCATTGTTAAACCCTTTATGCTCAATACTCTCATTTCTACTTCCCCTATATATAATCCAATTAAAATCCAAATTAACCTAATTCAAAATTCAAAAACTTAAACGCATATCCAAACCCTAGAATTTCCACTTGTATAATTCTCCGTCCAACGCTGCCTGGTTTTCTCTGAGAATCACACACTCGTGCGAAATTTGTTAAAATGGATACGTCAAATCCGGCGGTATTAGTCAACGCGGAGCTGCTGCGTATGCACGTCGGCCGGAGGGTCCGTACAGTTATTCAGGTGCTGAAATCCGACGGTGGTGGCTCAGTCGTCGGAAGGTCGACGGACGAGCAGCAGTTGATTATAAAGGGATATCCCTCAGCCCCTCTTTCCACTTTCGTCGAAGTTATCGGCATCGCCGACAGTAATCAATCTATTCAGGCTGATTCCTGGACCAATTTCGGCGACAATTTTGGTATTTGAAACAATACGACTCTTTTTTTTTTTTTTTTTTTTTTTTGAATTTCTTAATTTGGTGTGGTGATTGATATATTTGGGTCTTTTTATTATAGCAAATTAGGTCTTTTTATTATGTGCTGTGCATTTTGCCCTATTTCAATACGGCGACGTATTATGCATTAGTGAATTTACAAGCTAAAACCAGTATTATGAAAGTAGGAATCGATAGTTGCGTATTCGATTAATCGATTTAACTCAAAAATGCGTCTGCATCTTCTTCTGGTGTATGGCACAGTTGATGTATGATGATTATGTATGTATGTGTGTATATTACCATAGCTTAGATTTACGCGAGCTGTTAATCGAGAGATTGTAATGTTAGACTTTGCTCTGTAAATTATTGTTTAGGGGAGCCACCAAGATGTACTCTTGTATTCGGAACTAACTATGTCGGTTACATATTATCAAGAATTGTTTTTGTATAATGATAATTATATTACAAGTAATCGTTTCGTTTGGTTGGTGCAGAAATGGGATGCTACAACAAAGTATGTCAACTCGCGAACGGGGATTTCAAACACTTGTTCATCTAATAAAATTTTATGTCTGGTATAGTTCCTTCTTTGAGGTTTGGAACTGAAAACTCTATCGTTCAAATTTCGTGTTTTTCGAAACGGCAACATGTGTAGTTTATCAGTGTTTTCTCAGAAGCCTTGTTGTCTTGGTGATTGTTGCTGCTGATATCATCTTCAATTATGTTTTAAATTTGTCTTGATTTGATATTTTCTCCAATATGGCAAGCGTCGAAGTCTTGTAATCATTTTGCATATTTTGGTTGGTGTCGATCTTTTTTGAATGATATTTCATCTCAATATGACCCATCTTAGATTCAATACCTCTTGTATCAAAACTGCGATTATTAATTAATTGCCTTAAGCCTCGTTTGGTTGGGGAGATTAGTCATTATTAACTAAAATAATTAAACTTTATTTGACGTTTGATATCCCTAATAATTTGCTGAGTCGATCTGCAAATACTAGTCTCTAATTATTATGCATCATTGCATTGTATCTAATCATTTCAACCAACAACTGCAGCAAATAATGAAAGACATTACAAAAAGCTAAAGACAAATATTTCACATTGTCTCTAAACACTTCAGCAACAACTCCAGCAAATAAGAACATGTGAAACATGTCGAAAAGTAGAAGACAAATACTTATAATCTAAATGTCGATTAAAATGTATTACAACATCGTACCTAAGCATTATAGCTTGCAGTTTACATACCCTAAATTACGAAAATCATAGCGATAATAAACAACATTAAGGTGAGGAAAAAAGAAAAAAAAAAAAAAAAGGGGGCAGCTACATTGGGTGTGATAACTACTGATTATTTGGCAGCGACGGCCGAAAAAAAGATAAAAAAAAAATCACTAAAACAACATTCAGCGAGTACAACGGCTACTTGACTTTCAAAGAAAAGTCGAAAGATCTTCCGGCGGCTCGATCCAAACACTCTCGAAAGGATCTTGTTCACCCCAATCATAACACTGCTTTCGCGGATAATACCTACCATTCTCCAATGAATACGAAACGCATCTCTTACCATAAAATCGAACCTTCGAGAAATAAACATTATTTCTCATTGTTCCAAGAAGATCCATCCTAGCACAAGACGACAAAAAATTCGCAAACAAAGTCATCCCGCCTAAATTCTCAACCTCCACCCACACTTTCTTGGCCTGGTCCAGCTTATATATAACGGGGTTCACCGCCGAGCAAGTGTAAATTACGAAAATATCCCCGTCGTGCTCCGCCATGAATTTCCCCTTCCACCAATTCTTGACGAAGAAATTCTCCGGGCACTTGGGCGGTGCCACCGAATGCACCGCCCAAGTGCTCTTCTGGGGGTCGTAGACCCCCAGCCAGCCAGTCAGGCTCAAGCAATAAAACATACCCTTGCAGAAAACGAGCTTATTCCAAATGCTGCTAACGAACGGGAGGCGGTTCTGGTAGTTGGTGGTGGCCCACGCGGTGGCTCCGGGGCGGCAGGTGCTGACCGCCACCACGGTGGGGCTGACGTGCTTGACCGTGAAGACGATACAGCTGGCGGCAGTTGGGGCGTCGGAGAAGGCGACTATTTGGTAGGTTAGTTCTAGGGTAGGCAAAGCGATGGAGTCTCGTGTGTAAGGGCAGAAGAAGAATACTGACTGAGTTCTCGGCTTGTAGAGGAGGAGCCACCCGTTTCTGGCGTAGCAAATGCGGGACCCGTTTAGCTCGGGCAGGTCGAGGAAATAGGTTTTGCGTTTGGAGGGCTCGTAGAATTCGTAGAGGTTGCCGAATTTGGGGAAGAACATCAGCCACGGTGGTTTGTTGGATTTTCTCACGGAGAGTGCTACAGAGAGCCATCTTTTGCAGACAACCGACGCGCGAATGTTGTCTTTTAAGGTCAGTTGGGAGAGGATTAGTTCCATGAGCTCTGTTGGAAGATCGGTCTGTGTTTGCGTTTCTTGTTGCTCGTCTATCGGCTCATGCTTCGAGAGCTTTTTGCTGTGTCTAATTGTTTCGGCCAATCTACAGCAACGGATAATTGATGTAAATTCAATCGGCACTAAGACTAAACAATCGGAGTTATTCAAAAGGTAGCAATTCAAAATCACAAGTCATAAAATGCATTTGCTTTGTGCCCGAATGAGCAAAACGCGATTTTTATTTTGTTTTTCAAATAAGAACATCGGTTTACATCATTATATCGACCATATTCGATGAACCAAAAGATCAGCTAGAAGCTTCTAGATTTAAAAAAAAAAAAAAAAAAAAATCAATCTTGCAAATATATCAAATCCCAACTGAATTAAACAAGGTTTTTCTCATATGTTCAAATCAAAGTAGAGAGAAATGCAACTCAATTAAACAACTTTTTTTTTTTTTTTATTTATCAAGAACAGTCACCTAAATCAGAAGCACAAACAAGAACCCTACTCAGTGCAGACTTCAAGAATCATTCTTATCCAATCAGATTCACTCAAATCTGATCTAAGGAATTAAAACAATTAGTAAAACCCTGGAAAATTACAGATCATGAAATAGGATTCTTGCCGACAAAAAACTACTGAATCAAAATTGGCTCATAAAATCAAAAGAAACTTACAATTTCATCTTCTTTCTTCTTCGCCCAGCCATAATTGCCACAACCCAGATTGAATTTTTATTTAATTTTAAATTTTTTTTTTTTTTTGGGTTTTTATTAAAACTCAGTGTGTGTGTGTGTGTGTGTGTGTGGGCGAAATGAAGAGAGAAGAAGGGTTGGGAAAGGAGAGGGCTAAGGTAAGAATGATTGATGTCAGAGCGTGAGAGATTTCTAACAAAAAAACCTTTTCTTCCCAACAACACGTGTGGCTTTTGGTGTGTGTGTTCGATTTTCTGTAACGGTGGGCTTTTTTCATGTCCTAAAACTCACCCAATCCATTATTGCCACGTGTCGGTGGAATCAACTCTTTAATGTTTCTTCACTTTATGGTGCGAGTGTTGGCCATTTTATTTGAAACTTATCTATTATGATTGATACACATTTATTTTTTATTTCCAATATATATATATAACGTTACATTTGATTTATTGTTGAGAAAAGAAGAGGGATTTTGTTTTGATTATGTAATCATTTTGATTCATAATAATAATCCAATTGGATTAGATGGTAACAAATTGCAAATCCAATCATGATTCGTAAATGCATATCATAGGACCTGCACTACGACGCATAAATATACATGGGTGTGTGTTATTATGTGTAGATCAATGGTGCATGATCGATTTATTTCATCAGGTGTAGCGTCTACAAAACCCCTGTAGTCTATCAGATAGCTATGAGATGCTACACTCAGTGAAAAAGAATCGGGTAATTTTGCATCATAAATGTATACAAATGACTACTCACTACGCATACATACACATCAGTTTGTATTATTACGTGTAGATCAATAGTGCATGATCACCCGATATATTTCCTGAACCCATAGACACCAAAAACAGTTTCTTTTGCCTACTCCTAATAGATTAATGAATTCATCCAAGTTTGTCGATGCATAGTCTTGAAATTCAAGCCCACGTTGCAATAAGCAAGTGAGCTTCAACCCCGATACTAAAATGCTCCATCTCGAATTAAAATTTTGAAATAAAAAATAAACATTTGAATTTGAATTCGTAATAAGTAGAAAATCATTAATCTCTTGTTAAGATAGGTTCATTCACAATGAAGTTAAAATACTCGCGTCTCGTTTTCTGAAATCATTTTATCTATACATGTTATACACTTGACCTGAGTGTAGTATCTACATAACCCTTTCAAGCCACCAACTGTGGGACTTGGACAATGCAAACGGACTTCAGCAAACAAAAGAAAAAAAAATTCAAAAGATTCTTTAGTAACGCAAATCAAAAATCGCGATATAAAATAGCGAATATGCCATAATAATAATTCAATCTTCTGTCTATTGAAATGGGAATTTTTTCTTCTTCTACTTATAGTTATTCTGCCCTACTGGTTGAGACTAGTATGAATACCAACTTTTACATTGCTGACTAGTTTTCACCTGCCATGTCATCATCATCATCATCATCATCATCATCATCATCATCGGAACTGTCATTTTCGTCGTTAATTCCAGGCTGGCAAATGGAAAGACATAGCCGAGAACACGCAAATATCAGTCTATAATGAACTTGAATAGAAGAAATCAACTACAAGAATTAAAGGGGGTATATTTCATATCAGGAATTCAACGACAAACGAGAGGGAAGTTAGTTACCTGTCTGCAATAAGAGAGGCTTGTAACATTTGTTTTCTTCAATGTCGTAACCGAGTCATAGTTACCTTGTAAACATTCTTCACGCATAACCATCATTTTTTCTGCTATCTGGATATGAATAAGATACTGGATATGAATAAGATACAGGCACAACATATGAATCCCGATAAATTTAAAAAAAGGATTAGGAAAATAAAGTAGCAATTGCAATTGATGGTGTACTTTTGTCGTACTATTCGATCCAAGTTACTTACTTTTAAGTTTTAACCTTCAAACTTATGAATACACAGGTCATGAATTTACAAGGAATCTTGTCATTTTTTACGCAAATATATTTTAAATTTCTAACAATATTTGAAGTAAAATCCAACACATTTCGTTTGGGATTTCGTTTTCCCTCTATCGGGAAAAATATATTACATGTCAAGTTCAAATCAGAAATCAATTATGAAATAGATCTTGGTCTAAATAACCAGGACTTAATTAATCTGATATATACACCATGAAGGAAGTACGGAATACGATCTATTTTGGAATATAAACGCACAAGGACGTAAAAAAACGAAAAAGGAAAACGAAGAAAGTGCACCTCTTCAATGCTGCCATCTTCTATCTCTGTGTTTAGAGATAACATGAATTCTTCAAGCATATTATTTACTTCATGAATATATAGCTCTGTGCACAAAAGTACCAAATTGATTACAAAAACTGAACCAAATGCTTCGTTTCTTATAACTGTTTATCAAAGTGTCGAAATCAATTAATACGAATCAGAAAGCGGAATTCACAGAAGAAAACTCGAAATAAATAACAGAGGAGCGAGATACCGATTCAACTCAAAAATTTTATTAACTTATACTAAATCAAATTTAACAGGAAGAAAGGCAATATCTAGAAACTCAAAACTCAAATCGAAAAGGGAAAAAAAAATAAAATTAAGTACCTTTTGATTGGGTGAGGCGATGAAAAATATCGCGGCTGAATTGCTGAGATTTCTGGGCGGAGGTACGGCCGCCCCACTCATTCTCGACGGCCATTCGGAGGGCGGTCCATCGAGAAAGAACCAAATTGATCCCCTCTTGCAGCTGCGCCGCCGCTTCCGCCGTCGGAGCAGGGTTCATTGTCTGAGTTCTCACTGATATTGTTTTTGCAACCTAGGGTTTGCCTGAGTGTTGGGGAATTTGCGATTTTGAAATTATATTATAATTGAAATTTATATATAATGAATCAATCTGAAGTTTTATTTCATTAAATTAAAAAAACTAGTAATTGTACGCGTGCGATGCACGGGACAACAAATTGCATTGTTTTGATATTGTAAGAATATAAACAAACATTTGATGTCAAAATTCTATTATACTGGAACATTATTAAGTATAGGGGCAATTTTTTTTTTGGGGTTGTTTTGTTTTGGAGCTTTTAAAATGGGGTTATTTTTGAAGTAGTAATTAAATTGGTGTTGGCCGCCACCGGGAACGGCGGCATCGGACGGAGACGCCGCCGCCGGTGGCGGCACCGGGAGGAGACGCCGCCACCAGTGGCGGCACCGGGAGGAGACGCCGCCACCAGTGGCGGCACCGGGAGGAGACGCCGCCACCAGTGGCGTCTTCTACTTTTTAAATTATTATTTTAATATTTTAATATTTTTTAATATTTTATTATTTTAATATTTTAATATTTTTTAATATTTTATTATTTTAATATTTTCTTATTTTTTAATATTTTTATTATTTTTTAATATTTTAATATTTTCTGATTTTTTTAATATTTTGTGATTTTTAATTTTTTTTTAAAGATAAAACAATTCTAACTACGTTTTATTAAATTTATTATATTTTATCAATTAGTGTTAAATTAATCAGTGCATATATTTATCTAATCAACACAAAAAAATATGTAGACAAAAACAAAAGGAGTTTCTAGAAAATAAAAGAGTTATATAAAATAAATACCAGAAGAAGGTCCAACGCTACCGAAAGAGCTACTGAGGATGACGTGAGACAGACAAGAGAGGGGAACTATTATGGCTATGTTTGGACGCCTTCTCAGATTCTTTTCACAATTTCGGGAAATGAGAAGTATGTTTGGTTGGCTTTTGAAATTGAATTTTGATATTCTTTCAGGAAAATTAATTCCAATTTTCTCTCGATATGTGCACTCGGTTCTCAGACTTTGTCCCCCAACTTTTTCTTTGTAATTGAATTTTCTCACTCTCTCTCCTCTCCCCAACTCACTCTCTCTCTACATTTATTTTCTTAGTTAGGGTTCTTCATCTCCTTTCTCTCTCTGTCGGCAACCATATCCGTCTCTACCCACATCTCGATTCTTTGATAAAATCAATTATCGTATTGAAGAAGGAATCCGATTCTTCAATTAACTTACTATTCTCTGTTGTTGTCTCTTTGAAAGTCTACTGGGTCGTTACTGTTCCTTTCTGAAAAGGCTAGATATGGTGTAAGGGATTGAAGATTGTATTTTATTATATATGTGTTTATTCTCATTTACTTGCTTATAAATTGCATTTGCTGTGGATTATATGTCTTCATCTCCATGTAAAACACTTTTGCTCGTTCATTCCGACTCCAAATCGGCGTCCGACGACCATTTTTCTTCTGTTGATAGTAGTTTACCACCGTTTCAGATTTCAAAGAAAAGGAAGCTACAGATAATGGTTCTTCAGTTGGTTACGCAAATTGAGGTTTTTTATGCTTTTATGAACAAATCAATATTGGGTTCTTTGTTAAAACTTTATATAGAAGCATGATTTAATTTTTACAGGTTTTCTTCTTCAATCTAGTATGAACTATCCGAAACTTATTTGTTTTAGATCTAGTATACTACACATTAATTCTTCCAGATCTGCATGAATTTTTTTTTAAGATGCCTTTGATTTTGAGAAAAGAAATATTTTTTTAAATATGATTTTATATTATGCTTTGTTTATGTTTATATTATCTGTTAATGTGTCGTTTTTGCCTCTTCTGTGAAGTTCCTGAAATTTCAGGAAACATATTCTATTATTTTGTTGTATATTTTATGATGATATCCATGAGAGGATGATTATGACCTACCCCGTATTTCATACATATTTGCAAACTTACAATTCTGTATAACTGACTTTTATCTGATTCTCTAATTTAGATGCCTAGATGTGTAAGTAGTCAGAAACAAACTCGATCTGAAAATGCTCAATGGCCATTTGCTAATGAGGAATTTTTAATTCAACATAGCTATGACTATTACTTGCAAGGGCATTTACAGAACTCAACTTTTTCGGGGGTAATCTGGGGTATAATTGCTGGTCAGTTGAACGAGTCCACTAATCATCAATTTCAGTACACTGTCAAACAGTGTAGAGAAAAATTCACAAGAATAAGGTCACTATGGAAACTGTATTATAAATTGTTGAACACAGAAACTGGATATGGGATTGATGAACATACAAAGAAGATTACCGGGAACCGGAAAGGATGCCGCAGTGATTGATGTAAGTGTGCAATTTAGTTATTTCAGTTTATAATCTCAGTTTTCGATGGACTACCTTGTAATATATAAGTTTGTTTATTGAATAGGGAAACAAGGAGTATGCTAGGATGCTTAATAGTGGAATCCCTCATTACGATAATTGCACCGAGATGTTCTACAGAACTTATGCAACATGTTCACATGCAAGGTCTGGATGTCAGGGGCCTCTTGACAGTGATGATGAGGAGACTGTTGGAGGTTCTATAAAACAGGTTTCTGGTGGCAAAAGGGCTAGCACTGACTTTATGGCTACTTCAGACCAGGATTGTGGACCAAGTAACCCTAGCAATAATCAATACAAGCCCTGCAAGAAGGGTAAAGTTAACAAGACAGAGTCCATGACCACAGTAATGCAGCAAATTGGTGGAATGATGGAGGCTAAGCAGAATAGTTGGCAGGTTAATTGTAATGACCAAATGAATGAATGTTATCGCATCATAAAGAGGCTGACTGGTTTAGATTCATCGCTTCGTATGAAAGCATTAACCGAAATTAAAAGCGCGACCATGAGGAGTATGTTTCTGACCATGGATGATGATGATAGACTAGTTTGGCTGAGTACTTTGCAGGGGTGATTGGTGCAGGGCTGCTGGGTTTAAGAGGTTTTTTATGGGTGCGGGTTGCTGGGTTTAAGAGTTTTTTATTACGGTCGATTGAACAATTTTTCAAGTATTGTTTTAATTATCAGTTTGTATGCGTATTTTTAATTATCTATTTCTAACAGTGTTTCCTATTTTAATTCACTATTTGTTTATGTTTGAACATTTATGAATTATTCATGGTTGTCTTCAAATTTATCATTATGTTTACGACTTTTAAAAATTCTTTTATGAAGGAAAATGTCTTCTGGGAGTGAAGGTAGCCCAGGTAGCCCACGAAGTCCAACAAATAATTCAGATGAAGAATCAAGTAATGAATCTCAAATATATAAGTTGATAATGGAAGTCGTGATACCGTATTTTTTTCCTATTCGGGTTCCTCGTAATACGTCTATGCTTCGTAGAAATGATTGGGTAGGTGAGATACTTCACGGCCATGATGGAAGGTTTTATGATAATTTTCGAATGAACAAACCAACTTTCATGTCTTTGCTGCACACATTAACAAGTCGAGGCTACTTAACACAATCGAAATACGCTCGAGTATCTGTTATGGAAGAGTTGGCCTTATTTTTGCGTACAGTTGGAATGCATCATCGACAACGAGATAGTATGGAGCGATTTCAACATTCATTAGAAACAATAAATCGTTATATTTGCAGAGTGATTAAGGCATTAAACTTATTGGCAATTGAGGTGATAACTCCTCCAAACTTCAACGAAATACATCCAAAAATTGCGGAGGAGCCGGACTTTGCGTTCTTCGAGGTAAGTTACTCTTACTCCATATAGATATGAATTAATTTTTCAATTAAATTATTATAGTGATTATTTAAGCCTTAAATACATACTTAACAGGATGCCATTGGTGCAATTGATGGAACATTAGTGCCAGCATGGGTTCCTGCCTCTAGACGCAATGCATATAGATCAAGAAAGTCACACGTGTCGCAGAATGTCCTTGCAATATGTGATTTTGATCTTATGTTTACATACGTGTATGCCGGATGGGAGGGAAGTGCTAATGATGCTTTGGTACTTCGTAATGCCATTGCTAATGATCCAATGTTTCCTTTTCCACCACATGGTACTTATTTATTTTCAATATACTGTCATTTATATTATATTGAAATTTAAATATATACTAAGTCTCAAGTGTCACAGGAAAGTATTATCTTGTTGATGCTGGTTATACGAACTACATGTGTTTCCTTGCGCCGTATAGAGGTTGTAGGCGCCATATAGAAGAATTTAATAGAGGTACTCGAGCAATGACCGGACCAAACGAGGTCTTTAATTATACACATGCACGCTTAAGGAATTGTATTGAACGATGTTTCGGCATTTTGAAGAAGCGCTTTCCAATTCTCGCATGGGGAATGCCAAGCTACAGGATTAATAGGCAAGTGCAAATGGTCATTGCTTCTTGTGTCTTACACAACTATATCCGAAAGTTCAGTCGCGATGATGAAATTTTCAACAAGGAACTTGAACCGGAAGACGTAGATGTGGATACATTCTACCACAAAGGTCATCCAAGCCAAGCTATGGTTCAAGCTCAAGCGCTATTTAGGGATGGAATTGCACATTCCTTGTGGGAACAATATCCAGCTTCTTGATCATTAAACATAAGGGGTACTCTTTCCTTGTTTGATCAAACAAGGTTTTAACGAGGCCCCATTTTATTCATAAAAAACAATTTGGCCAAAAAAAAAGTCTAAATATGCTTATAGTTTGTCTTGTTAATCTTATTAAGATGTTTTTTGTTTGTACGATTCATTTATGTTTGTATTTCTAAAACTTATGATCATGATTATCATTTCGTTATTATTATATAATTTTTTCGATTTTCATTAGTATGTTGACTATATTTTACTATAATGTTTCAATTATGATTATTATTCATGTTGCAATTATAGATAATTAAAGACATACGGAAAAAAATTACATATAATGATAACAGTGCATGATCATTATTGTGGTTCCAAAAGAATGAATATATAACAATAGTATTATCAAATAATTAAGAATATTTTATTATTCTTATAAATACCATCCATTATATATACAATAATACAAAAATCATTCAATCATTTAAATAGGTCAAAATAATCATAACTTAATCATTATTCTACTTTAATTTAACAATTTCAGACAATGATTTGATTGCTACAGTGTAAACTGTCTCCTTCCATAATATACACAAACATACATTTATTTTCAAATTCTTCTCCCAAAACATCTTTTCCCGAAATGTTTTGGAAAACTTACCCCAAAAGGGTACCAAACACAGCCTATTATGCATCTACATCTCGGGCTCTGGAGATGTTGCCGGTCCATTTGCTTCCCATACACCCTTTTATGCAGATGTTCCTGTGCATGGAGGTATGGACGATTTATCTACTACACAGGGATTTATGGATATGTTCGGTGCGTCTACATCTCAGGTACCCATATTTACAGATTTAGTTGGTCTATCTACGAATGATTACGTTCCAGATATGCCATGGTCCGATTCTCTAGCTACCCCACATCCTCCTACTATTGATACTCAGTTCTCTTCATGGGGTCCACATTTGGAGCTCAATTTGGGATACTCAAGTCCCCAAGAGCGGATCCGACCACAGTATAATGTTTTCCCTGTTCCATATCTACCGGATGACACCCAGTTTGTTGATGATGTACCGACAGATCCTGACATTCGTCGAGATGGTAGGCCGCGTAGGACTAGACGGGCACCTGCATGTGGCACTGGTTCACATAGGCACTGACTTCATAGTGCCAATTTTATTTTCTTGTACTCATTTTGTCTTTTTACTCATTTTGGACCTATTTATTTTATGGGGCAATTTGCTATAGGTCCTCCTATAAGAGATTATATGTGTGAAAATCCATCTAATAAACTCTAATTTCCAGCAAATTTTTGTATTTATAATTTGTCAAAAGTACCCCTATCAATATCCCTAGTAATATACGGTAAAATATATCTTCAAAATCAAATCCCCCATTTCTCTCCCTATTATACTGCAAATCCGAAATTTCCAATTGCAAAATCTGGAATTCGATTTCTCCACTGTTTCTTCAAATCGAAAATCTCACCACGAAGTTTGAATCCTTCTAAAGGTTTTGGGTGTTTTGTCGTTTGCAGTTTTACCAGGTCGTTTGCATTTTGTCTTCGTTTTCGATTTGCTGTTCAATTTTTGCATTTGTTTCGTTTGTTGTTTACAAATTTGTTGCTCACTATTTGCATTTGTTTCGTTTGCTGTTTTACAGGGTTTGTTGTTTCGAAATTCCAATTGCAAAAATCTGGAATTTGATTTGTCCCCTGTTTCTTCAAATTGAAAATCTCACCACGAATTTTGAATCCTTCCAAAGGTTTTGGGTGTTTGGTCGTTTGTAGTTTTAACAGGTCATTTGCATTTTGATTTGTCCCCTGTTTCTTCAAATCGAAAATCTCACCACGAATTTTGAATCCTTCCAAAGGTTTTGGGTGTTTGGTCGTTTGCAGTTTTAACAAGTCGTTTGCATTTTGTCTTCGTTTTCGATTTGCTGTTCAATTTTTGCATTTGTTTCGTTTGTTGTTTACAAATTTGTTGTTCCCTATTTGCATTTGTTTCGTTTGCTGTTTACAGGGTTTGTTATTTCGAAAATTCCAGATTTTGCAATCGATTTCTTCGTTGTTGCTTCAAAACGAAAATCTCACCACGAATTTTGAATCCTTCCATAGGTTTTGGGTGTTTGATTGTTTGCAGTTTGACCAGGAAGTTTGCATTTTGTCTTTGTTCGATTTGCTGTTCAATATTTGCATTTGTTTCGTTTGCTGTTTACAAATTTGTTGCTCACTATTTGCATTTGTTTCGTTTGATGTTTACAAATTACCAGGTCTGAGCATTTTGCCTTTATTCCGTTTGCCTTCGTTCGATTTGTTGTTGCCCAATTTGACTTCGTTCTGTTTGCAGTTTACAAATTGTTTGTTGCTCGGAATCAACGGCTGGTGTTTAGGGTTTCTTGTTTGGAGTTCATACGATGGCCAAAACACGATTAAGTCTTGGTAATCAATGATCCTTTGTGTAAAAAAATTTTTGCATGTACGGTTTTCGCTTTTGATTTTTTTTCTTTCATCTCAAATTTTGTATTTTGTTCATTTTTTGCTTTGTATTTTGTTTGTTTGCTATTTATTTCAAATATTTCAATAATAATTTGAGAACCCGTTTTTTTCCCCCTTAACAGCAAATGATGGTGATGATTTCCAATCCCCGAAATCAGGTAAATTGTGGGGTTTGTGTATGTTACGACTTTGGTTATGTTTATTCTAAAACAATACATTTGAAGAACCTCATTATGTGTTCTGACTTTGCTATTTGCAAACCAAATTGTTTGTTGTTTGCAGTTTCTTATCATAGGTATTTGTTGTCTGCAGTTTCTTATTTTAAGTTTCTAGTTTTGCAAATGTTTATTTGACATTTGTTGTTTGCCATTTTCTACCTTTTCTTCAATATTTCCTGTTTGTATTTGATGCCTGCAAATTGGTGTTTTGGTTTCAATCCCAATTTGCATCTGGAAACTCTTTGTAATGGTAAAAATGTTTGTTTGCATTTTGGTGTTCTTGCTACTAATTTGTAAATAACTTATTTTGTCAATTTTAATGGTTGTTTGCATGCTATATGTTGCAACATTTTACTTGTGTCAAATATGGCTGCATTTTATTGTTGTTTGATAATGTGCCTGCATTTGATTGATTGTTTATATTTGCAACTATGATAATGTTGTTTTGTATCTGAACCTCATAATTTTTTTTATTTTTTATTTCGTTTAGTGGCACGAAATATTGATCAAGTTTTTGGTTTTTTTTTTTGTTAGTGTCATAGACACGTGAAGATCCACGAGAGCGCGGGTGATGAACAAAAGTTGACATTTGAGTGAATGCAAGTTTTGATTATGCTACCCATTCACCATAATACAATCCTAATTCGGTGGATTGCGGGTTATTTTTCATGTTTAGAGCACGCCAGTTTTACTTGCAACAACTAGTAGTGCAAATTTTCATGGACAGTAAAATTAGTGACCTGAGCTCTGAATTAATTTTATTCATTAGTTTTTGAATGATGAGCACGTCAAGTTTGATTAGAACATATTACGTACATTGAATTGTGCCTTGTACTACTATTACGTACATTGAATTGTGCCTTGTACTACTAATTTATTTATAAAAGTGTTTGATGTTTCACATCCACCTTGCAAATTCCAAATTCAAATTGCAAATGAAAAAAATGTATGTGTTGCTATTGCATTTTGCATATTATTATTTTCAAACTAAAGAAATCATAAATTTATGTTTGCTATTTTTATGGTAGCATTATTTAGGATGCAATTTGCTATTTGCTATCTACTTATCAAATGATTAGTAGTGATACTGAATGAAAATAGAAATTAAACAACATTCTTAAATATTCAAAATAAATTTCTCTAAAATGAGTAGGGAGAGTGGAAAAAAAATATAAGTAAAATCAAAGAAAGTGAGAGAAAGAATGTGTGAGGTAGATGAGAGAGGTATAGAAACGTGTGACATGAGAGAGGAGAGAGAGAGACGTGTGAGAGAGGAGAGAGAAATAGAGGAGAGAGAAATGGATAAAGAGAGTGATATGTGGGATTTGTTGTCATTTTCTATAATTTACTATTTTTTAAAAAATGTGTAGTAAGTGGGTATTTATGTCTATTTACTTTTAATTTTATTTAATTAATAAGGTAAAAGGACCTATGTCTATATTCATCTTGTTCATAGGACCCCTACCTATATAAGTCCAAAATTAGGGGTGTCTAGCCAATTTCCCCTTATTTTATATAACTCTTTTATTTTCTAGAAACTCCTTTTGTTTTTGTCTACATATTTTTTTGTGTTGATTAGATAAATATATGCACTGATTAATTTAACACTAATTGATAAAATGTAATAAATCTAATTGATAAAATGTAATAAATTTAATAAAATGTAGTTAGAATTGTTTTATTTGTAAAAAAAATTAAAAATCAGAAAATATTAAAATATTAAAAAATAATAAAAATATTATAAAATAAGAAAATATTAAAATAATAAAATATTAAAAAATATTAAAATATTAAAATATTAAAATATTAAAATATTAAAATATTAAATTCTTAAAATAATAATTTAAAAAGTAGAAGACGCCACTGGTGGCGGCGTCTCCTCCCGGTGCTGCCACCAGCGGTGGCGTCTCCGTCCGATGCCGCCGTTCCCGGTGGCGGCCAACACCAATTTAATTACTACTTCAAAAATAACCCCATTTTAAAAACTCCAAAACAAAACAACCCAAAAAAAAAAATTGCCCCATTAAGTATACTACACACAAAAAAAAAAGGACATAACTTTATTGTTGAATAATTTTTCAAATGAATTGAATCAGCTAATACCAGTAGATTGAAAATTTGAACCATGAAAAAAATCATCAATTATGTCTTCCATGTTGAGCTTAAAAGTAATTAGATTTAATAACTAAGTTAACATAATCAAAACTAAACTATCGACAACATACCATCGTAAAAGGCCATCTATACATCTTGCATCGGAACTAAGCCCTTCTCCACTGCCTCATTTTAAGGTTGTTTTGCCACTGGAATTAACAATTGGAAAATTAAGAAACAAAAATAAATATAAACAATAAATTAAATATCGCGTAGAAACAATAAGTCTTGAAGGTCGACTTCCAATAGCTTGTGGCTCCGCCCATTTTTGGTTAATTTTCTCAAATCATCCTTTCCAATAACATGTCCAATAACATATAAAATGAAATAATTGTTATACATAAAATTTGAAAACTTTGGTATAAATTAATGAAACACATAATTTAACAAAATGAAATTACCTATAAGCCATGATGGAAAAAAATGTAAACTAATTGCCACACATGCAATAGGATGAAGAAGAAGATAAGAAACAAAATCTAAAGTCGGGTTACCAAAAGAAGAAGCCTTAATAAAATTCAAATGTTGCAGACATTCTGTAAAACGATGTCACAAAATCCGCTAGGGATGAAAATTAGATTTATTTACCCTTTTCTGTAAAAATCGAAAATCAGATTATTATAAATAATATATAGGAGAATTTGATGAAAATCGATAATAATATTTAAAATAATATTTCGGAGATAAAAATTTGATAAAAAAATCAAAAAATAATATTTAGGAGATAAAAATCGAAAATAAAATTTAAAATAATAGTTAGGAGATAAAAATTTGACAAAAAATCGAAAATAATATTTCAAATAATGTTAATGAGATAAAAGTTGATAAAATATGAAAATAATAATTAGAATAATATTTAGGAGATAAAATATTATTAAAATCAAAATTATTATTTAAAATAATATTTAGGAGATAAAAATTTGATAAAAATCAAAAATAATATTTTGGAGACAATAATCTGATAAAAAACGAAAATAATATTTAGGAGATAAAAAACTAACAAAAACATGATAAAACTCGAAAAAAATATTTAAAATATTATTTAGGAGATATAAATTTGATAAAATTCGAAAATAATATTTAGGAGATAAAAATCTGCTAAAAGTTGAAAATTATATTTAAAATTATAGTTAGGACTTAGGAGATATAAATTTGATAAAATTAAAAAAATATTATTTATAATAACATTTAGGAGATAAAAATTTGATAAAAATAAAAAATAATATTTAGGAGACTAAAATCTGATAAAAATAAAAAATAATATTTAAAATAATATTTAGGGGATACAAATATGATAAAATTCGAAAATAATATTTAAAATAATATTAAGGAGATAAAAATTTGATAAAAATTGAAAAAAATTTACAAATATGACATTAGGGTTTCTTAGGGTTGCCCTAGCGTTTCTTTCTTTTATATATAAGATTGTGTTGTGCAAAAACATAATTAACAATCATCATCATGGAAATAGTCCATATTTAAATAAGTATTATTGGTTTCTTTACAATAATTGCAACTATGGGTTATTTTTGCATTAGTATAAAATTGTTGTGTAAAAAAAGATAATTACAAATTATAAAATTCGAAAATCATATTTAAAATAATATTAAGGAGAAAAAAATTTGATAAAAATTGAAAAAAAAATTACAAATATGACATTAGGGTTTCTTAGGGTTGCCCTAGCGTTTCTTTCTTTTATATATAAGATATCTAGGAGAATTTGATAAAAATCGATAATAATATTTAAAATAATATTTCGGAGGAAAAAATTTGATAAAAAAATCAAAAAATAATATTTAGGAGATAAAAATCGAAAATAAAATTTAAAATAATAGTTAGGAGATAAAAATTTGATAGAAAATCGAAAATAATATTTCAAATAATGTTAATGAGATAAAAGTTGATAAAATATGAAAATAATAATTAGAATAATATTTAGGAGATAAAATATTATTAAAATCAAAATTATTATTTAAAATAATATTTAGGAGATAAAAATTTGATAAAAATCAAAAATAATATTTTGGAGACAATAATCTGATAAAAAACGAAAATAATATTTAGGAGATAAAAAACTAACAAAAACATGATAAAACTCGAAAAAAATATTTAAAATATTATTTAGGAGATATAAATTTGATAAAATTCGAAAATAATATTTAGGAGATAAAAATCTGCTAAAAGTTGAAAATTATATTTAAAATTATAGTTAGGACTTAGGAGATATAAATTTGATAAAATTAAAAAAATATTATTTATAATAACATTTAGGAGATAAAAATTTGATAAAAATAAAAAATAATATTTAGGAGACTAAAATCTGATAAAAATAAAAAATAATATTTAAAATCATATTTAGGGGATACACATATGATCAAATTCGAAAATAATATTTCAAATAATATTAAGGA